AGATAACTTTCAGGAAGGTCGTTTGTTTCGGGTAGGCGACATTGTATCTTTAGTTGATGAGGAAGATGGTGCTCCGTATTTCGCGCAGATTAGGGGACTCATGACTGATACTTACGGTGAAAAGAAAGCTGCTCTTAATTGGTAAGTGCATTTTATACTAAATGTGAATTTATTTTTAGTCCAAATACAGAATTATAATTTTTATGCCGTATTCTATTCTTATCATAGTGCTTAGTAAACTTGATGAATCCTTTTTAGACAGGGAGTTTAATTTTTTTCTCTTCTCCTGGTGGATGAAGTTAAGGACTTTTGCAGTACTGTGTTTGGTGTTTAATTCTTATAATTTTAATCTTCTAGGCTGATCCCTTTGAAAAGTGCTTCGGATGAACATTATTTTGATCCTCATAATTTTGCTCATGGAATATCGGATGCAGAACTCTACCCCATAGAAGTAATTAAAGACTACCTTTCAGTATTTTTTAGGAACCTAATATTTCCTTTTTTGGAATTTTTTTATCGCACGGTTTTGCTAATTTGAATGTTTAGTGCTCATATGCTTTACGGTTTTCATTTATTCATTTTAACAGTTTTTAGGTATGTTGTTTTGTTTCTAATGTGCCAGATATAGCGGCATATAAAAGAATTTGGTCACCGAGAGAATGCGTGGAACAACAATTAAGGTTTGAAATGGAAGAAAGACTGCATGATTTACAAGCGGTTGCATCTTCCGAATTACATTTTCTTGACGGACCCTTGTTAGCTCCCAGGAAGAAGGATGTCTAGTTATAATGAGTTTTTGATTTAACCTGAGGAGTTTTTATTTTTTTGGTTTTGTGATCACTTTTGATATTTCCCACACCAACATATCTTTTTGCTTTCTACCTGTATATTTTTGATTTGCTTATTGCAAATTCTGAGCAATCTTTTGTGAGAATGTTTTTTTTCTCATATGCCGAAGGATTATCTTTAATATCGGGTCACTATTTTTTCTCCATTGGTTCTTTCATCGATGATCCAGTGTATTTTTACCTATCATATGCAAATTTCTTTTTCCTCATTTCGTATGGGAACGGAGTATTAGGGACGTTGACAAGTTTTTCTCAATTTTTATTATGCTTACTCTGTGAAACTGTTTTTCGACATTGATGTTTGGAGAAGCTTGTTAACGTTGAATTGTAATTTTTTTGATTATTCTGCTGAAATCTTAAAATCTGTGTGCGTTTGGACCACTTAAAAGTTTCTGTATATTTCTAATTCTTATCATTTTGTAAGGTCTGAAATAAGTTATTAGTTAGCACGTACATTTTCAGCATTGGTTCTCAACTTCTTGGACAAACGCTTAAATTGTTTCGTACTTTTCCTATTGCTCGTGGCAGTTACACTTGTATCTCCTCTGCTTTTCCGTCGTCATGCGTATCTTTTCTTGTCCTGACCTCCTGGTTCTGAATGGTGTCAATATGCTGGCGTTCGTGGGCTTGTTAACTAATTTTGTTTAGTGCTGGTTGATCATACTGAATGGTTTAAATGTCTCGACTTACAGCAAATGGCTTCGGCCTTTTTTTGGTTGTATTTGCCCTGGTTATGTAACACTGGTTAAGAATATGTCGTTTAGTCTCTATTTTTGGTTCTACTTTTTTGCTTTAGTCTTTCCCTGTTTCTTTGTTCCTTTGTGTTGATTAATTAAATTATTAAAAAAGTCAACATTTTATTTTCATAATTTAGTTTATTAGATCTTGGTGACTCGGAGTATTAGAATCGTTACTTTTTTTTTTGATCAGGAAGTAGACAGCTTGATTTTATTATAAGGACGTTGGCAATGTATTAAGCCTGTTCAATCATGTAGAAACGTTATAAGAGTTGTTGTTTCTGGCTTGCTTGGTGTAGGTCTTTGATGCATTCGTTGAAGCAATGATTTGGTTCGTTTCTTTTCAAAACTTCGGTGGTCTGGTCTTAAGGGGATGGGTTAACGATTTTGAAAGATAGCGTCTTAATAAGTTTTTCAGCGGTAGCAGCACTGCTGTTTGCGTAACAGGAACTGTTTGGAATATTGCAGTAGTTTTGCTATTGTTTTTGCTTTCGTTGACATTATTTGGGAAACTGTTTTTTTTTCCAGGTGAGGAATTAGTAATTTTTAATTTAAAAAAAAAAAAAACAATTTAATTACAGTTCTCGGCAGTGATTGTTGTAAATTACCAAGAACTAAAAATACAGTCCTGGTTAAACAATCTGTGATTGAGCAATTAAACTTTTTGTTCCGTTCTGTTCTGTCTCAACGTTGTGGACGAAATTTTTAAAGTCTTACAGTGTATCATTCAAGTTCAAAAAGGAGGAAAAAAAGGATAATGGAACAAAAAAAAAAAAA